CCTAAGCAGGGGTTTGGACTAGAAGACCTCCAAGGTCCCTTCCAACTCTGCTAGTTTATTGTATTAATGGGAAGAAAGGAAGCGAATGAATAATGAATTAAATTAAGCATTCTGGGACAAGCAACTGCCAGGCCTCCTTGTGTGCTGAGCCGCATTTTCTGCATCCAGAAAGGATTGTCCTCCTTCTAATATCCCCTCTTCAAGACAAAACACAGACTGCAGGAGAAGACAGATACGAAACCCAAAGGACCCAATTTGGAAAACCTTTAAAAAGCGAGACACAAAACAGTCACGCAGAAAGCATCAAAGCTGGCCCTTCTCGTCTTACAAGATACAATCTTTTTTTTCATACTCCTATAGCTGGAAGAAATCTGTGAGTTTTTCTTTAAAAAAAAAAAATCGGAAGAAAGATACTGGCGTTGCAAAAAAAAAAAAAAAAGTGAGAAGACAGATACGAAACCCAAAGGACCCAATTTGGAAAACCTTTAAAAAGCGAGACACAAAACAGTCACGCAGAAAGCATCAAAGCTGGCCCTTCTCGTCTTACAAGATACAATCTTTTTTTTCATACTCCTATAGCTGGAAGAAATCTGTGAGTTTTTCTTTAAAAAAAAAAAATCGGAAGAAAGATACTGAAGTTTCAAAAAAAAAAAAAAAGTTGGAAGACAGATACCGAAGCCAATTCTGGCAGCCGCCGTTACCAAAAAATTTAAGCCGGAAGACCGAGGGATTCCTGGAAGTGTAAGAGACAGCAGGATATGAACACCCAGACTGGGATTTTTATTTTATATATATTTTCTAGAAGAAAAATCTGCAGTGCTTTGTGTTCATCATTCTGGAAAAGCATGTGTCAAACCCAAGTGATTTTCCTTCCCGGGAAGATAGGGCCAAAATGTCAGATTTGAGAAAACTGCCTATATTATGTGATAAAGGGAAAGGTAAAGATTCCCCTCGCATATATGTGTTAGTTGTTCCCAACTCTAGAGGGCAGTGTTCATCTCCGTTTCAAAGACAAAGAGCCAGCGCTGTCCGAAGACATCTTCGTGGTCATGTGGCCGGCATGACTCAATGCCGAAGGCACACAGAACCTTGTTACCTTCCCATCAAAGTTGGTTCCTATTTTTCTACTTGCAGTTTTACGTGCTTTTGAACTGCTAGGTTGGCAGAAGCTGGGACGAGTCACAGGAGCTCACTCCATTATGCGGTGCTAGGGATTCGAACCGCCGAACTGCCGACCTTTCTGATCGACAAGCTCAGCATCTTAGCCACTGAGCCACTGAATCCCTATATTAAATGCTGCAGATGGCAAATTTGGGGGGCAAACAATTCTTGATTTATTCTCAAATCCAGGTAACAGAGGTTTCTGACCTGGAACCAAGCTATATGGAATCCCTGCAGATTCAAAATTTGTGTTTTAGTTTCGTATCTTAATTTGATGCATCAGTTCCGGAATTAATGTAACATACTTTTCACAATCTAGACACATTTTTTATTGTTTTGACTATGCCTACCCAAGCATTTCAGCTTATTTATGCAACTCTTTAGCATATGGCACAGAGTACAGGTAGTGCCAAAGAATTGGACCTTTGAACTATGGTGCTGGAGAAGACTCCTGTGAGTCCCTTGGACTGCAAGGCGGTCAAACTGGTCAGTCCTAGACGAGATCAACCCTGACTGCTCTTTAGAAGGACGGATCCCGAAGATGAAACTCAAATACTTTGGCCACCTAATGAGAAGGAAGGACTCCCTGGAGAAGAGCCTCATGCGTGGAATGATGGAGAGCAAAAGAAGAAGGGGACGGCAGAGAATGAGGTGGCTGGATGGAGTCACCGAAGCAGTCGGC